GGGGGGGGGGGGGGGAACCCTCCCCAAGCAGAAACAAAATGACCTGATGATAATTTTTTTTTTTCAACAGCACAGCGTATCATTGCCCCCCAAATTTGCCTTGGAATTGCTTACCATTTATGCTTGGGAAAAAGGGACAAATGAAGCAGAGAAATTCGACACAGCAGAAGGGTTTTGCACAGTGATGGAGTTAATCACTCAGTACCAAGATCTCTGCATCCATTGGACTAAATACTATAAGCTTGAGCATCTCAAAATAAGGCAGTGTGTGAAAGAAAAGTTGAGGGGGTCACGGTAAGGATACTACTTTTCTCTTGTTGCCTTTTCTTATGTATGCTTTCATTCAGCTGGGTAAAGTGGTAATCAGGCTGTATCTCAAGTTACCTGTTAAATCTTAAATGCACAAGTTTAGCCCTTAAGTTCTGGCATTTTTCCATTGCACTTGAATATTTTGCGGCAAGAAAAGAGGACATGAAAGAGGCAGAAGAGTGAAGTCTCTCCTCTTCCTACTTCTAGAGACTATGGATTTCTGACTGGGGGCTCCATAGTTGATATTCAGTAAACAAAAGGCAAACACAAAAATCAGTCATATTCTCAATGCCACATTTAGGCTGCCCTGTAGTTACCACCTATATTTGGCTGGTATAAGTTAGGGAAGGAAAATACATTACAGGTAGTCCTCACTTAACGACCACAACAGGACTGGAAAATTTGTTAAGTGGGGCAGTTAAGTGCCTTGCTTTTACGACCTTTTTTGCAGCTGTCGTTAAGCGAATCACCACGGCTGTTAAGCAAATCATGCAGTTCCCCATTGATTTTTCTTGCCAGAAGCTGGCTGGGAAGGTCACAAATGTCGTTCACGTGACCCCAGGATGCTGCAACTGTTGTAAATGCGAGCTGATTGCCAAGCGCCTGGATCGCAATCAACGTGACCGCAGGGGTACTGTGACAGTTGTAAATGTGAGGACTGATTGTAAGTCCCTTTGTTCAGCACCATTGTAACTTTGAACAGTCACTAAATGAATAGTTGTTAAGTGAGGACTACCTGTCAAATAAGATATTGAAAAGTGGAATCTACTTGGCATGCGCTGGAATAACATGTATTTTTTTAAAGTTCTTGTGATAACTAGCTGTGGTTTCTTCTGTGAGTTTATGCAACACTTTGTTTTGTTTTTTTAAAATACGCATGTGTATGCAGTCCTGTGATTGTTGATCCGGCAGATCCAACAGCAAATGTTGCCAAAGCCAATGGAGAAGCTTGGGATCGACTGGCCAAGGAAGCTTCTTATTGCCAGAAGCAGCCATGTTGCATGAAGGATAATGAACCTATCAAACCCTGGAATGTGCTGGTAGTATTCATATGTCATTTTCTTCCTAACAGGCAGCTCAGAAAAATCATTATTTCTAAGTCTTGGGATACTTCAGGTATAATGTTTACAGCTGATTATGCAAAGATTCTGAATTCTTACAAGAGTCAGTGTCTTAAAATGAAATGGGTTTCCTGATTGGCTTTCCCTAGTTGAACCACTGAACATAGTTTTAAACTGGATAACTGCATCATATTAGAGTTCTGTGCTTAACTGTGGTTTGTTGAATAAAACATGACTAACTTCAGTGCACTAAGCCATAACGGCTGAGAGCCTTGGACCAAGGCCCAGTCCAAGGTCCAATCCCAGTAGTTTCCTTACGCAGCTTTCTCATCAGTCCAGTCCGAGAGAAGCTCTTCAGTCTTATTCCTGTCTGCTTCCACCTGGGGAATTTGGTGTGAAGCAAAGCCATGCATTCAAGAAGGATCTGCAGCTCTGCAACCGAAGCTTAAGTTATGTTCTGTTCAGCGTTTGAGAGTAAAGGGACAATGGGTAAAGGAATGATCATGTTTAGAACGATTGTGGAAAAATCAGGTGGATCATCCATTCTGGGGTTACTTTCCTTCTGTAAGAAAAGAAAAATGAAATGCAGCATCTCTCAGAATAGACTGCTGAGGATGCATTCTCTGTCTGTGTGAGCCTCACTGACAGCAGCATAGAGAACTACTCTTTTTATCACCCTAGGTTTTGCTTGTATGTTGGCAAGATGGGCCCTGCTCTCAGGGAAAGTAACCAACTGCTTCAGGCAGCAGACACAGTCAGGGAAGCAAATTGCTAGGTGTGCCACAGGATCCTGCTTGGGGCTGTGGAAAGAGGGCTCTTGCTTTTGATTCCCATGGGTAGGTAGGTAGGTAAACTTCATGGCAGTCTCTGACCATTGTCTATACATATACATTGAATGTACATTAAAAATGGCAATTAAAAGAAGTTAAAGGGGTTAGAGGGGAGGAAGGGGCGGGGAGTGAAGTTTTTAAAGATCTCAAAGGAATGCAGTTTTATTGGACAATATTTGTTGCCTCACATGAAGCAAAATTTGCTACATTATGGTAGTAGTGATCTTACACTCTCCTAAAAGATAGGAAATGTATTATTGGTTGTTTCTCCCTGAGAATTCCTTTATGAGGGGATGAATTAATACATCATGCAGGTTTAAATAGAAATTACAGTGCAACAGGACATGTTGAACATCCTCCATGATGTGGGAGTCACAGAGGTAAAGTCATTCATGGAATCTTCCCATGGGAAATTCACTTCCATTTCCATTTCATTTTCAGATCGGGATTTTTAAAATTTATTTCATAAAGTCATCCAACTTGCAGCATACCATTGTGAAAAAGTAATTGCCCCCCTATTTCAATCAATTCTGTTAAAGGGATAACTTGAGCCAGTGATATGAATACCTCATTAAACAGAGCTGATTTGAGCCAGCCCTGCGCTATATAAATCTTATAAACTTTGCATCACAGTGAAGTTGTTAATCACACACCATAAACCTGAAGCACAAGTAGGTCATACACTAATACAATGATTCCATATATACATTTAAACTTACAAGCTTACAAGAGAAGAACAGATTCAGTGTTTTGGAATGGACAAATGTAGGTCCAGACCTAAACTGCACTTGGAGTAGGGAGAAGGTATCTCAATCTCTTCAGGCAGTAGAGTGGCTTGGACCAATTCTGTAGTTTACACATCGTTACTCTAGGATAAACTTCTAGAATGTTTCTGTAGTGTTTATCAATCACACACTTACTACTATTTTATCCCCCCTTTTTAATATATAACTCAAGGCAGCAAACACACTTAACACTCCTGCCACCCTGTGAAGTGGGTTGGCCTGAGAAAGTGACTGGCCCAAAGTCACCCAGCTGGCTTTCATGGGAGTTCAAGGGAGGCCTAGAACTCTGTTTTACATAATATAATGTAATAACTTATTAATTATACATTATTGGTAGCACAGTTGTGTTTCTAAATGAGGCTGTTTACTATTTTGGTCAATTGTTTCATCTTTTTCTCTCAGCCAACCCCAGAGATTGAAGTGACGGTGGAACAACACAGAGGAGCACCCACTGCTGTATCGTGCAGCCCTTTTGCCTCCATCAAGTGGATCAAGGAGCAAGTGGGGAAAGGGGGGCATAGCTGTGAGCTGTGTTTGGAGGAACCTGGGCAGGTAAATATAGTCCTGCAAAATGATAAAACACTAGCAGATTATGGGATATTCTATGATACTACCATCCAGCTACGTCATACTACGTCCCAAAAGATAGAAATCCTTGTGAAAGACCTGAACAGCAAAACGACAAACTACACAGTGAACACCAGTGAAATTGTCCTAGGCCTGAAAAAGATGATTGAAGCCCGCACACATGTACTGGTAAATCAGCAGCGCCTCACCTACAATGATAAGGAGCTGGAAGATGGAAATACACTTGCCTATTACAATATTAGGAGCAAAGATACTGTCTACCTGCTTTTGAGGCTTAGAGGTGGGCATAGCTTTATAAGAACAAGAAGAATGCCTAGTCTTCCAGGCACACAGTTATGAGTTATTCCTATATACTGAGTATATAGGAAAAAACATTTACAGTATGGCTTTTGAGGGGATTTAAATTTTTATAAACTGCTAATCGGTCAGAGAATAAAGAAGGGGAAGTTAGAAATTAAATACCTATCTACTTTTCCAAGCAGCTCCTTTTTTCTTTTCTTTTCATAAATAAAAAATAGTAATACAATGGAGACTTCAGTATTAAATTCAAAGATATAAGCTTTTTTCATATAAATAATTCAATGCACTTTGCAACTAATTATCAATGTCATATTAATTGTACACTTGAAGCAACTGTGTTCATGTATATCTTAGAAATCATATTTAACATTGATATAAATTTTCTATTGTGAAATGTTTAATTCACTTTAATCATCACAGTTAATGATTAAAGCTCCAGTTTCTATCATATAAACGCCACTGTACTTAGCTGCTGTTTGTATTATATAATGTATTATTTGTATTCTATAATAAAACAATTAATTTGGGGAAAAACTGGCTATGGCTTCAAACAATGGTTTCCTGAGCTACACCAATACATCTCAAACCAGGTTTCAGATTTACTTTTTCCAAATGAGATGCCAATCTCAGTTTCTCGTTATGAAAACACTATTACACTTACACATCTTTAAGAGTTGCAGAGGTCCATCATAATTGTTTGCTGTAATTATATAAAGTTTTTCTAAATGCTTAGGAAAGTACTAATATTAGTGATTTGAGCAGAAAGTATGATAAATAACATCTGGTTTTGTCCAGCTTGATACCTCTGTGAAACTGAATGAGAATTTTATGCTGACAGTTGCAACTGATCTACTGTGAAACACAGAGAAATTTGTTAGGTTTTAAGTGTCAAAATACCTAACACAATGATACCTGTGCCACAATTCTCTCATGAAAATACAGATCATTCCATTTTATATAAGTAAGTCTGATCTGACTGAAAATAGCCACCAGGAGGTGTAAGAACATCACTAAAAGTTTTTTAATGACTTTAGGAGTGTAGTAGCCATATTACAATTGCTCAGCATGTGTGAGAAAGCAATTTTAGTTTAGCAATAAATAACAGAAGTAATCACTTGAAGACTGAAGAAAATCAATAAAACTCCATCTTGGAATATAATAAATACATATGGGATTTTAAAATTCAACCTGTACAGTCAGTCATAACGTTGTTTAGCCAAAATACACGATTCAGATTACCATTCATTTCCCCCAAATAAGACTACATTTTTTAAAAGAAAAGACGAAAGGCAGCTACTTTATGGATTTTTTTGTTTTTTTAAGTCTTAAAATAGTTTTCTTCTCAGGAAAATGTATTGCTACAAAACTTAAGTTAGGGATACTGGCTTTATGAATGAAAAAAATAAAGATTTTCAAATGAAAAAAAGGGCTTCTTACTTCATACGGTGCTGCAACATGGGTGGTGTCCTGTTCAGAATTCAAGCCACTCCAGAAATTCATACACTTCCACGCAAACACACGCTGTCGTGCGGTGGCCACTCAGCATGCCCTATCATCGTCTCATTTTGTGGGAAGCACTCTCTTTTTCAGCTACATTTGATCCGTTTGCAACTCGAGATTCCCTCAAACCTGCTGATACCTACTTTTGAATACATAGGTTTTTTTTGGCAATGTAAAGACTGGAATTGTGATCAGTTTGGTGGCTATAATGATGCACGGTTATGTAACCTTTTGTGGAAATTGGCATGCCTTGTTGCCTTATTCCCAACTCAAATGCAGCCCACCATGTATTGCAACCCCATATTGAAAAGTCCCTTTCCCATAAGATAACAACTGGAGGTTAACTCAAATGCATTGCAGGTAGTCCTTGCTTAACGACCACTTGTTCAGCAACCATTAAAACGACAGCGCTGAATGAGTGGTAGGCACAACCAGTTCTGGCTGTCACAGCACCCTCGCAGTCACATGATTACAATCCAGGTGCTCAGCAGCTGGCCTGGATTTCCAACTGTCACACTGTCCCTGCATCACGTAATCATGATTTCTGACCTTCCCTGCCAGCTTCCCACAAACGAAGTCAAGGGGAAAGCTGGCAAGAAGTTGTAAGTTGTGATCACATGAGGTCCTTGCTTAACAACCCACATGGTCCTCACTTAACAATAGAAACTCAGGATCTCTGGAATTGCCATTGCTAAGTGGTGCAGTCATATGATGTCACACTTTATGATTGCATCGCTTAGCAATGGAAATTCCAGTCCCAATTACTGTTGTAGGCAATTACTGACCACTCGTTCAGTGATTGAAGTTACAATGGTGCTGAAAAAATAACTTTCCAACCAATTTACAACCATTTATGACCTTCACAGCATCCTTCAGTCACATCATCACCATTACAGTTGTCCTGGTGTCTGACCTGTTGTTTCTCTTTTTTTTCCCCTTTGCAGAGCAGACAAATTGGAGAGGAAGGGATTACAAGAGAGTAAGCAGGCACACAATGGGGCTGTTTGCATACAGTGCATTGCTTTCAATGTGTATTCCTCATTGTATGCCTGCTTACTCTCTTGTAATCCCTTCCTCTCCAATGAATGTAAATACAAACATTAATTCCCTTCTTGTTAATTATACCAGTGCTGGGGTGAGTATTCCAAAGGGTGGGGAAGTGATTAGGAGGCAAAAAAAAAGTGGAAGGTGCAAAACTGATTAGTCTTATCACTTCAAGCTGAAAAGCACAGTTGCAGTCATGTGATTTCCCACTTAGTGACTGATTTGCTTAGTGACAGAATTGCTGGTCACAATTTTGGTCGCTAAATGAGGACTACCTGTAGTTGCTCAGCAATGCATTCAGCGTTATAATACCAATGAGCATGTTTGAGTAGCTGGGACAGCATAAGGGTATGATCTACTCCCCTCCCTCACATTCTCTCTTTCTGAACTGGTCAGGATGAAATCTGGCACAACAGTGGACCATCCTAGATTTCTTGTCCATGCTGAAATTTCCCAATGAGAAATGACCCAGGATTTCATGCCCCGCATGACAACTGTGGACCTTTCCAATTGATAATCTGATATCATACATGTGGTAGGGCACAATCTGGATTTGGTATTTCAGTTGGCTAGAGCTGGTGGTCTGAAAGTTGAGAACCTTTCTGTAACTCCAGGGTCACAGATCATTCTCTGGTCAATTTTAATTAGTGGCTTCTATAACTCTTACAGGGATGGGGTCTGTTAAAAAGGTCCAGCCCAGTGCCTGTTAGATCTAGGTGGTTTTCTGAATGTGATGAGGAATATTCTGCCTCCATAGCCAGCAATATTATTGGAAACCTGGCCACGAAGATGGCTTGGGTCCTCTTAAGTAGCCTCTTCCTTCTAGAAGAAAACAGCTGCACCTTGGTTTACCAGAAAAATGAGAGAAACAAAGCAGATCTATGGGTAGAGGGCTGGAGTGTATTCAGAACTCTTGGAATTGGAATGGACCTAGATAAAATGCTACTCCAAAGCAAAGAATGCAGTCAAGAGGGATTTTTTTCCTCCACTGCATCTGGCAATGCTTTTTAATATCATGCAGCATGTTCTCCATCAAGATGTTAAGGGAGGGGAGCCAGAATAGTCAGAGGTTTGCTGTGAGCAATTTTCATAATTCTTTGCTGACAACAGTCAATCAACTTCACCTTGATTTGGACTCCAGGGTTGGGACAGGTCATAAGGACAACCACTTATGTTCATATGGATTCTCTTCAGCATGGAGATCTCAGGGTTATGGATAGTGTGTACAGGTAGTCCTCAGTTAATGACCACTTGTTGAACGACTATTTGAACTTACAATGGGACTGAATGAGTGGTACTTACAACCGGTCCTCGAAGTTCCAGCCATTGCAGTGCCCCTGCAATCATGTGATCACAATTTGGGCACTCGGTGACCAGCCCGCATTTCTGACTGTCACAGTGTCCCATAGTCATGTGATCACGATTTGAGACCTTCCTGCTGGCTTCCCACAAGCAAAGGCAATGGGGAAGTCAGAAGTCGCAGTCACATGAGGTCTTTGGTTAATCACACATGGTGATTTGCTTAATGAAGGCAACCAGGGATTGCCAAAACTGCCATTGCTAAGCAGTGTGGTCACATGATGTCACGCATTATGACCATGTCACTTAGTGATGGAAATTCTGGTCCTAATTACCATTGTTAAATGAGGGCTACCTGTAGAGAAATAAGGGCCTCCAGCTGCTTGCTCAGCCTTTGCTCTTCCTAATCATTGGGACTGCACCCATGATTTAAGGAGGGAATTAATGCCACCTTGAGTGTGAGATGTGTTCCCACCTGCTTATAAAAGGCAGCTATGACTCCACTAAAAAGCCCTCCCTTGACCCAGAAGATCTTTCTAATTACAGGATAGCCTCAAACTGTCCAACTTTATACTAGGGACTGCAATAAATCTCAACTTTCCAGACACTCAGTATTCAGGAACTTGTTTACAACAGAAGCTAGCAGATACAATATGTCTTGCAGGCAAAATGGAAGAGAGAAAGATGTCCTATTGAAGAACACAGAAAGTAGGCCATATATATCTATTTTTGCTCCAGGTGTTATTTTTCCAAGTCAATGAAAATTTGCCAATTCTCTTCCCAGCCAGGAGATTGGGTGATATCTGGGCAAGGTTCATTTAACAATTCATTTCTCCACTCACTCTGACCAACTAGCTCTCAGTGTAATTCAGCATTTCTATGCCTTTGTGCTGCTCCATCCTCATGCAGCAGTGTGCTTAAGGGCTAGATGGAGGACGTTTCTGCTCTGAGTCAGAGTCTGCCAGGTCCTGGGTGGGCATGGTGGAATCCATTGCTGTCTTAGTCTTCTTGCTGGGTCCTGGAAGTACCAGGTCTGCTTCTGGTGATGTTCCCTCCTGGTCCTTTTCCTCATATGAAGAGCTCCAGAGACCAGATCATTCATGACAAGGATAACTATATTGAAACTGGCTGTCGAAAGGAGCTGGTGTTGATCTCTAAAGCATGAAATGGCTTAGGGTCTGATGATCTGAGGAACTGCTTCTCCTGCTATGAATCTGTCCATTTACTTACATCAGCAGCAAAGGTCATTCTGAAGATACTGCATGAGAACAAAAGTTATGCGGTAGACATACTGAGGTGAGAATGTAAATTGTGTAAATAAAGAAATGAATATTGTTTTGAATTGTTTCATTTGAATGTTAGTGAATTCTCTAGAAAAGATCATCTTTGCTGTTTGTCCTTTGATTTTCCTTCTGACTGCTGATCAATTATTGGATCTGGGCTGCAAAAGTCAGACAACCACCAGATGGCCGCAGATCCAGAGATCTAGAACATGCTAATTGTTTGCTGCCATCTAGTGGTAGCCTGGTGCTTTGCAGCCCAAATCTGATAACCCTAATGCTGATCCACACTAGAGAAGTGACAGTAGCAATGCAATATGTTTTCCAAGGTAGGCCAAATGTCATGATGCTGGAAATAAAATTCAGTGAGAAGAGTGACATGAACGTTTGCTGGGGACTATGTT